CGTAAGTACTTAATCCAGTACCAGTAGTCTGTTATCTTTGCCTGCAATTACAAGAGAACGCAGTACAACCCTTGAGTCAGGAGCCACTTTATATTATAAGGTGAGTGAGACTGAGACCCCGAAAGGTCATCGACATGTGTGAAAAAAACTACGGAAAGGCTGATAGGGACGAATACACCGTGGACGAAGCTGTAATTGTACCTCTCTGGAACAAACGGTAGATAATCTTAATCAGTGAAGATGACCCAAACACATAGCAACGTGCGCAACGAGATGACTTAGACATGTCTTGTGCCTTCTTGGCCTGTACACCCTCTTCTTCCCTTGGTGTTTAGCCGGTATGCAGGTCTTACTTGAATAAACCCCCTACTTCTATTTTTCTTCTCAATTTCATTTTTATTTCATGATAATATCGGTGGAGCACACCTAACTAGAAAACAAAAAACCAAAAAATCCAATTTTTAATCCATGATAATCATAATTTATGATAATAATATTCTCTATTTTTTTACTTCTACGAAAACAAATTTGCTCTATCTACATGTTGTACGACATCATATCGTAGTGACATCTTAACTATAATTGCGATTATTTGGAACAATCACCATCTTTCATATATTTGTTGATGAATGCACCGCTTCAAGGCTTGCGCTTTTTGTTTTTCTCCACTGCATTGGTATTGGAGAAAAGCAAGCGGAGGACTTAAAAAACCTCAGTGCGCAAAGAGGGGCCATGGAAAAAATCTATTGCATACTCGTCTCGCAGCCCCCCGGGGGTCAGCAATCACTACAAAATCAAAACCTGGGTGCCCTGCGAACCCCCTCGCGCGCTTGCTCGAGGAGAATCTTGACGAAACGCTCGCCCACTGTCGCTTTGGGTACTGGGGGAGGCGGAGATACGCAACAAACAGACAAGAGCCCGAAAGAAAATACCTCGGCCCACGAAGGGGCAACAGGTTGGAAGAAATTTCCTCCCTTTTTGGGGCGGTTTTTCATCGCCTTCGAAGCTCTTCTTTCTGTCGGAGTCTCTGAAAGCAATACTAGCCTTGTAGGCTGAGCCATTTCATGTTCAGATAGCAATGCTAAGGGAGACAAGTATGTACAAATGAAATGCTTCGACCCTTAATAGCTGATCTAGCTTCACTTCGTGCTAAAGCGCCAGCGCAAACCTGTAGACGACGGAAATATGCTCCCAAACAGTAGTGAAGAATCCATGTGAATAACCCGAGAGCAGACGCAGACCAACGCGAGTCTAACACCCTCTACGCGCCCTTTTGCAACTGCTAAAGATGGATCCTTCCCCAGCGCCCTCACACGAGATACGCAGGCGGCAGAGCCGCCCGCAAAAAACTGAGCCTCCTTGCAGCTTTCCCAAGCTACGCGTGGGCCAGAATTGTCGCTGAAGCTGCGGCACATCAATGCGCATGGCTCCGCGACTCCGTATTCGAGCAACGATGAGCGGATTACTCGTCCTCCACAGGAAAGAGTGGGTTTACGTCAAGCCTTAATCAATTTAATAACAATGGATGCGCGAGAGTTATTCGAAGATTTATTTGGTACCATCTTCTAAAACATATCATATGTCTCATATGTCTGTCCTTCGGACCCGATCTACCACCCCTGCTCATGAAAATTTTACCAAGGAAAAAGAATTTTGACAATACTAGCCTCAATCATGTTCAACCGCTTTCTATTTATGGTAATTGAAAACACTTTTTGGTATTTGTAGATGTACAATGCAGCTTTCTCCTTACTTTCTCCAATCTTGTTGTTATCCTTCCTCTAAGAACACCATAAACCCTAGAATGTTTTTCCTTCGCCACCACGACGGTCAGTGATTTTCCCTCCCCCCGCATCACTAACAGTCGTGATCATTTCTTCTTCCCCTTTATTTACACCTCGGTTACCGCGTCAGTACCAGCCAGCGTACCATAGTCGTCCGCCCTCTGAGACTTGGCATCGCCAGTTTTGTTAGATGGTAAAACCATAGGAATGTGATGACGAGTTTATAATATCTATAGGTTCATACTCATAGTCATACCGAATTCGCACGCACAGTGCGACGATCCTAACAAGACGCTACTCGGATTCCTATGCGGATTCGAAGTCGTGAGAATCTGAGAACGCACTACTTACCGAATACTACAAAAAATGTGGAAAGTGAATCTTTAGGAAGACAGGCATCATACTGTGTGACTCACACAACAACAACTTTCAAGATATAATAGTTCTTGCGTACTGGATGAATCAAGTAGTAGAAACCTCCCGACCTAATCTTGTTTTTCGTGTCCTTCCTGGGTATGCGCATCTCTCGTGCGACTTTCCGCAGCAAAAAGATTCCACAGATTAGAGGTAAAGCTTCACTTGTCCTCGTCCTTTGTTGTGTGAGATACCATGAAATACTTATTGTTCGTGTGGCCATGGGTTGGAATGTACTGCACGACCTTTCAGTTACAGTCCCTACTTTGCAATCTATCTTCAGGTGTGTCATGTCTCAGATTCAGAATCTATCTTCGGGTGTGTCATGCCTCTGCCTCGCTCATTCAGAATTCTATCTATATTTATACTTACCTCAACCTATATACTACACGACAATAGATGACGAACAGCGAAACCTTAACAGGAGCACGAGCAGCATGATGATGCACGCGGTCGAGTCGCTGTAGTCGATTTGATGCGAGGGAGGCAACTTCTGGATGGAGGACGAGCTCTGCGGGAGGGCATCAATTTTTATGCTCGGCTCATCGTCAATCATGTCGACGTACATGCCTAGATCATCTCTGGTCGTCTCGTTGTCCCTCAAAAACCATTTGATGGCGGTTTTCATTTTGTTCTTGCCGATCGTGCTTCTGAGCTGTAGGCCGAAAGTGGAGTGAACGAGTTCTATGTTACTATTGAAAGTTGGTGAGTGTTCAGGACAGAGAGTTTAAATTTTTCACATACGGACAACAGATAAGCACAAGTCTCAAGTGTCATTTATCAAGGGAAAATCCATACTCCTTCGCCAAAACCTCAACTTTTGAAGCGATCTCTTCCCGCGTAGTTACTTGAAGCTGAACTAGCTCTACGGCCGAGTCTGAACGCCTGAGAAACGAACAGCCCACGAGCCTAAGGCCCTGAGAGTGAGACCCTACGAAATTATAACTAAAAAGCTACTGGGTTGAAACAGCGAGGACGCCCTCACGGTGCTGGGAAATTACGAAACCACGAAGCCCCGAACCGAAAAGGCCACTCACTACGAAGCCGCGAAGCGATGAAACTGCGGAGCAAAACTCTGAAAGAAACCATGCGCGCGAGGGGCAGGGGCACAGCACGGCACGCGCGCCAGCCATGGCGAAGACAGAGCTGGCGGCGAGCAGCTGCCCGAGGACTGACTCATAAGGTAGACGAAAAAGAATAACACTCGGCCCGCCTTGGAACCCTGCAAGCACAGACTGACACTGACAGCCAGCCCGACGCCAGCGGCCGAATGGTAAACAGCGACCCGCCTGCCAGTCACTGGAAACAAGAAATCCAGAACAGGGCTCCTTCAATGCTCCCCGCTTCTAACTTTTGGCGGGCGCAGTCTCACCTCTGGGCCCTTACTATTGCGGAAGCCTAACTCGAAACCTGAAAGGCCTGAAGCTTCACACGCTCAAACTTGGCACGCTGTTGGACAGAATGGCAGCGAGCTGCTCAACATCGTGAAAGGGGTCAAGGATCGCAGTCAAGAGGCCCACTAAGACCAGCCACGCAATGGCCGGCCAAGATCAAGGCCACACCAGTCGAAAACAAAGCCAACAGGCCCACACCACAGGGGCCAGCATTAGGATAACCGCCATGGGGGTGGAATACTTTCAAGATCGAGCTCATCAGCCGGGAAACCCATAGGAAGAGAGTAGCAGACTGGCTCACATGACTGAACACGCACGGGGGTGCTTGGACTAGCATGAGAACCACCAAACCGAGTGGACTTGCTCCCCCGAGGGGATAAGTTTCTACGGTTTTCCGTGCTCGGACACACCTCAGAGTAAAAAAAGTCTTTGCTGTCACACCGCCAAAAAAAATGAAGAAGACTCAAATTCAAAGCCTTGCACAATTTAAGCTCCCCACCTTGTTTTCCTTTTCATAAATGCGGGAGAGCACGCGCCCCAACCACCTCCAGCCCGTCGACCCCAGTACAGGGGCACTGGGCTGTTGAGGACGAAGGGGGGCACGCCTTGAAGGACAAAGGGCAGCAAATAGGTGGAGGATTTTAGTGGAGGGAGAGTGCCAGGGCGCTTACATCTTTCTAGAAAAAAAGCAAATTGAGAAATCAAATAAATACAAAACAAAAAACGCTATACCTCTTCCGCGTCTTTAGCCTGCAGGAATGACGAATCCTTGATCATCTCTTCCCTAACGATGATCGCCATGGCTTTCTTCTAGCTCCTATTAAAATTATATCTTAAATGTAGAGGCTGACAACGAATAATGCGTCTTTCAAGTGCTTCACGTGTGGAAGTTGTGGGTGCTAGGTGGTCTCTGGATGAAGCGTAATTTGCCTTTTCAAAAAGGATAAGAGTTAGAGTTGCTGGATCGATCTTCTACTTCGTCTACTTTTCTAAGTTTTTTCACAGTGTCTCACGAGGATTCCAGGGGGTTGAGGATTGCTTCTTCACTCCCCTATTTTTTTAGTAGTTTCGTAGTCTGTCTCTTAGTCTTATCTTCCAAACGGCAAACATTCAATGTCTATACAACGAGTAAAACGGTGTAGGTGTACGAAGGTTCTACTTTTTCATCTATTCGATCGAGTATCGAGATGAAGGCAAGTCAACGAATTCTGTACGACACCATATGGTATAACCACGAAAATCCTCCTCAATGCCATACTTCATCGATTACTCACACAACTCGTTCTCTCGTCATCAAATGCCTTTTTTGCCTACAACTCGAACATGCCTCAAGGATGGTGATGGCCAGCTCGCTCTCTCGTCATCGACGACGTATTTTCCAATGCGACTCGTTTATGTCGGACACAGGATCATATCTTGACAGACGACTCGTCTCACACTGCTCGCATTTACCTAGATATACTCGTCCTTCTGTCGAAATCAAGTATCTTCTTCACAAGGTTGAATCTTCCTCACAAGGATGACGGATTTCCTTCCCTCGTCTTCGTATATTCCTCCGTCGTACAAAATTAGGGCTGTTAGAAGCTTCGGGATCATTTTTCCCCTCGTTGATGGTTCTGTAGTAAGTATGAGAGCGTTGATGCGTTACCGTTAGATAAGAGCCAGGAAAATACCTACACATAGAATGATGGTCATTCTCCTGTGTCTTGGAGAAGCAAAAGAGGAAGAGAAGTTCTATCAAATCAGACATAATACTGTTTAGCTTTAGTCACAGTCACCAAGAAGTACTCAGGATTGATGTTGACTTCTTCGTTGTTGATTGTTCTAACTTCTACTTTTTTTAATTTTGTTGTTTCTACTAGAACTAGTAGACTTTGAAGATCATTTGTTGTTGTCTCAAATATATTTTCTAAGAGATGCATGATATTCGTGCTGTAGCAATTCATAGATAGTTTTTTGAAGTAATCATTATTGATGCTTGCTGCAGCGGCACTTCTTCCACTTGTTTTGTGATGCATAATTTCTGTTCAACTTGTTCAACATCACAATAATTGATCAAGAATCATACTCATAGCCCTTTAAATTACTTGCATTTATTAGTACGGCTGATGGAGTTCATTTTCATTGTTTCTCGGATACGTTTATTTAAGGATGTCAGGAGAGTCGTCCAATGTCGAAAAGACTAGCTCAAATAAATACAAGTTCTCAATCACTACAACCACATCATAGCACTTTACTCACCGAAGAAGATGAGGATCATACTCTGCTGCATACATTCTTCAACCCAAAAAAAAAGTTTACTTTCTTGCACGTTCAACTTTCACAGTTCATATTTGCTTGTCATTGTCTATTCTAGCGGTTAGAGAGTCGACGTCGACCCTTCATCACTATGGCAGCGTCCTCTATTGATGGAATCGGAAAGAGGTAGTGAATAACAAAAAACGTTGTAGTGCATTGATGTGAACAATGGAGGGAATGGATGTTCCCGAAGGATGAAGTACTTGTTAACCTTAACATATTTATAGTACAGAATCTATTCCAATATCATTGAGTCCTCTATTATTGCATATCATCAACATCTACATCATGCATGAAAATACTAGAGTTAATAGTTACTACTTACTGTCCTCTTTCTCTTTCATCTTCTAGACAATTCTAATCCCACTACATTGCAAAGCAGCAGTGTCCATGACTCGAAGAGTCATCTCCCGCGCGACTCGAAGATTTATCTGTGAATAGAGAACGCCACAAGTAACGAGAGCCGCGAAGTGACGCAACACTGGCACTCCCGCTGACGTGACCACCATTGTCGACAGAACCATACTCATTGCTAACAGCGCAGGAAGAAAATGCTGTCCAGAACTAGGAGTAGTGGTCTTTGTTACATTTGTTCCAGTACCAGTACTAGTTGTATGGGCCTTTCCACTTCCAGATCCAGTTGCTGTCCTATTGCTACAAGCAGAGGCCGCGAGAAGAAGGGATATGAGTGCAGCAAGGACCACAAACGCATTGGTAGAAGTGTCCAGAATTACCACTGCGACTCCCAAAACCTGCACTGCAGTAAGGATGGGCACCAACAAATCGGTTGTTATCTTTCCGAGTTGTAGTTGGTTAAGTTGCTGTTGTCCTTGAGAAAAATGGATTCTCTTTTTCAGTCCGTTCACCTGCGGACCAGCGACATCTTCAAGCTCCGAAGCATCGTAAATTCGACCCAGGCTGTTCTCTATACAACTATGCCCCTCTCTCATGAAAAACGTGGTCAGCACTATGTGCCAGAAGCAGGCGAAGGAGAACAGAACCACCACTAACCAAAACACGTGCTCGAGGAGATAGGTTCGCAAACCACGACTCGTCTCTGACAGTGCAGTAATTGAAGACTTTTGAGGTTTGAAGAATTTCACGACTTCGTGAACTTCATCTGAGGAGGAAGACGTTGAGGAAGAAGACGTCGACGAGGCTGTTGTTCTTCCGAAACTGTGCAGCTGGTTGTCTTCTTCCTGCAAGGTCGCCTTTGCCCATTGCCGTAATCGTTGATCTACTTCTGCCAGTGTTAAAACTAAGGAAAATCCATCTTCAGCAGTGTCTTGTGCTGGCGGTACAAATCGTGTCGTATTATTTCGGCAGAAGACGATCGCTGTAGGTCCAAAAGCGCAGGAGGAAGGAGCGGGCCAGCGGCTGCTGTATTCGATGTCATAATTGTTCTTTCTCTTTCTTGTCTTTCAATTCCTCCTGCTCTTGGACCATGTCCATGATTTTCTACTAAAATTGCAACTTCATCACCGTCAGTTCTTGTCCTTTGACCATGATTCTCTGTAACTAGTCGTCCTTGTCCTGAATCACCCTGACCAATACCGATTCTCCTTTGGCTATAGTGCTCTGCCACTGCATCCTGCTCAAAATCACTTATTCTTTGGCTATTTGCTAGAGATTCATCTACAGCATCTCCTTCTCCACTCCTGCTGCTTATTTTACCAAGAAGTGCTGATCTAGTGCTCCTTGCGGCCAATGCTGGTGGTACAAACTGTGTCGTATTCAGATCACCCACCACTCCATGACGTCCATCTCGTTCTCCGTCTCCTTCTCTTAGAGCTTCCCGGAATCCATCTTGAAAGTCATCCTGCCCCTGCTTTCCCCGTAGAAGAAGGCCTCAAGATGCTCGTGAGGATGGATTACCTGAAGCCTTAATTCTCCACCAGCTTCCAATAAGGGCAGTCGTTGTCGTTGTGTCGGTATCTGCTCTTGGATCTGCTTTGAATCTAAGACGCCTGTTCTTGAGCCAGGAGCTCGAGTGCCAGGAACTATTGTCAGCCTTGGTTGCACTCGTGCTACCCCTCCATGAGGTCTAGGTTGGCCTACTCCTTCACGAGGAGGTCCAGGATGACCACGAGGTGCAAGTTGGCCTACTCTTTCACCAACTGCGGGTTGCCCTACCCTTAGACCACCTGCAGCTTGTCCTTCTCCTGCAAGGTGATGGCCCTCTTCTTCTCCAACACCATGACGAACATCCTTATGGGAATCTCTTGCCAGGGACTCTCTTGCCGTCCCCATCGGTGCGCGTCCAGATGAGGGTGTGGGGTATGCTACTCTTGACCATTGTCGGCGGCCGTCATTGGTGTTTGAATTGCTCAGGCGACCAGGCTGGTGAAATTCAAATTGAGCAGCATAAGCACCACACAACCAGAGGCAAAGTGACGTTCTCAGGCTTTTCACCATCTTCTTTTTTTGGTGGTAAGCTGTTGATTTCGAAAAATTGAATAAATAGTATAAGCGTGAGAGAACATACAAGTGCCGAGAAGGTAAAGGCATGAGTCTACCACTTGAAATCGAAGTAGAAATAATTACAACTTCTAGTAGGTAGCATTGATGGTTGATGACTCTCAAACATCAACAACAACATGCTGTAACCAAAAAATTCATTTGATTTACTTCTGGTACATAATTAAAAAATGAGCATCCTCTTTCTAAGAAAACTACTCTCCACGATTAGTGGGTAATGAAGTTATGGTCTCAGTACTAGCTTTGCCGTTACAGACGTTCACAGATGTTGAATCTCCCAGCTCTCCCAAGCAGTCTCTCAACATCCTACTCCCTCTTCCGAGCGCCACCTTTTTCTTTATACGTGCCACACTGGTCATCAAGCCTAAGCTCTTAGCCGCTACAACTCAAAAGGGTCGTGCTCACGCGAAGCTCCCTCTGACAGACTGTCTTGATTCAAAAGACACACCACTTCGTTGATTCAAAAAACAGACAACACCCTGAAGCAGTCGCAGCACCACTTGGATCTACGCACAGAGGTTGTTCAAATCTATTATCTGGAAATGGAATGACGAGCACAATATTGAAGTTGTTGTAAATTCATCTGGTCATCATGTTGAAATAATTCGGATATGCTTTCATTCATATTCATAGTTATGAAGTGGATCCTTATGGTGTAGTTATACATTTTTCGTCGACGGTCACCAGTCTATTTCGTCCCAGCGCTTATACTTGTATTTCCTTTTAGATTTTAGTACTGGTATGCAATAGTGCACCACTGGAACGCAATGCACCACTGGTATGTAACGTCTTACACCTTAATATCGTCGTAATCGCGGCTCGGGCATATCGAATTTAACTCATGATGACCACAGTGACCACCTCCCAGCATAAGTTTCATTGTCATTGTTTTAGCGATCCATCGAGGAAGCATACGCGTACATCATCATGATTCTCCAGATCTATCGTGTCGGAGCAACCTTTTAGCTAACTCAGTTCACGGTCGTGCTGGGGCAACATAGTGCATAAGTATGTATGTATGAAACAATTATGAAGAATGTGCATGGATGTGGTAACAAATGCAATTTATGCGAGGAGGTATTGAGAAATACAAATTTGAGATTGAGAAGATGAAGATATGATCAGAAATTCTGATACCTGTTTTCTCAATGTCTAGGATGGAGGAAATATCTAAGACTGTCTCGTTCGCCAAGGTCAACGAAAAGCTCATTCTCGTGAGTCATTACCAAAGCGGCTATCTTCTCAAGGTTAGGTTAGGTCCCAGCTGCACACAATGTATGATATTCCTCCACGAGGTAAGCATCTCCTACGAGGTAAGCATCTCCATTGAGCAGTGAAGCGGAGCAAGAACGTGAATACTCCATACAAGCGTCATTACACGAAATGAGTGATGGATAATTTCATCTTTCCATCGCATCGTTGGAGATGGTCAACACAACCCTTGGGTGTTGACGAAGGAAATACAGTGGCTCGAGCTCAACACAGACTATGAGTAGGACCACCAAGAAGAAGAACAATAGTAGTTGTAGTTGCTGTTGATGTTAACCCAGTCTTGACTAAGATTTAAGTGCTTCTACATCTACTTCCGCTTGATGAATTAGCTCCACTGCGTATGCGTTTATTCAATGAATGACGGACCTCCTCAACTTCGTCTATTGTCTATCCGCAGTCCGTTTCCCACATATTTTTTTGTCTTTGATGCGGAGTCACCTGCAGGACCTTACTAACCCTCTCTGAATCAAGCTATTTACACTGAACGACTTCTCCGATCCTCTGTGCATTGCTTCTTGCCTCAGCTACGTCTACTTAATCCAGTAGTCTGTTATCCTTGCCTACAATCATATTATAAGAGAACGTAGTACAACCCTTGAGTCAGGAGTCACTTCATAAGGTGACTGAGACTGAGACCCCGAAAGGTCATCGACATGTGTGAAAAAACTACGGAGAGGCTGATAGGGACGAATACACCGTGGACGAAGCTGTAATTGTACCTCTCTCGAACAAACGGTAGATAATCTTAATCAGTGAAGATGACCCAAACACATAGCAACGTGCGCAACGAGATGACTTAGACATGCCTTGTGCCTTCTTGGCCTGTACAACACCGTCTTCTTCACTTTGTGTTTAGCCAGTATGCAGGTCTTATTTGAATAAACCCCCTACTTCTATTTTTCTCCTCAATTTTATTTTATGATAATCATAATTTCTGATAATAATGTTCCCTATTTTTTTACTTCTACGAAAACGAATTTGCTCTATCTACATGTTGTACAACATCATATCGCTGTAAGTAATACCAGCAGATCTATCAACATGACATCTTCACTATAATTGCAATTATTTGAAACAATCTCTATCTTTCATTTATTTGTTGAGGAATGTGATAAGTGAACAGGCCAACACCTAAACCACTAAGCCAACTGCGCAGTTGGCTTAGTGGTTTAGGCGTTGGCCTGTTCACTTATCAATCAAACTACCGGGGTGGGCTCGGCCGCCTTTCTCGCGATCTCTGTCTCTAGGCACCCCCTGCCGTAGCTAGGTGGGTCACCGCATTTCATTTGCGGCCGGTATCACTAGGCTGCCAGGTTCATTGGGGGCTGGACTTCTGCCATTCTCGCGATCTCAGTGGCCAGGCCCCCCCCTTCTTGGGTGGGACCGGTCAAGTTTGCCGATGTCGGGCTCATCGGTGGCTGCGTCTGACAGACTTGGCTCATTCTGTGGCGGGTGTGTGCACTGGAGCGCGCTCAATCAGACGCCTCCCACCCTTTGGCCTCGATGCGTATTTTGGACTCTCTCACTTTTTTTTGATATTACCGGGACTCGAATCCTAGGTAGTTTGATCGATAAGTGAACAGGCCAACGCCTAAACCACTAAGCCAACTGCGCAGTTGGCTTAGTGGTTTAGGCGTTGGCCTGTTCACTTATCAGAATGCACCGCTCCAAGGCTTGCGCTTTTTGTTTTTGTTTTTCTCCACTGCATTGGAGAAAAGCAAGCGGAGGACAAAAAAAACCTCAGTGCGCAAGGAGGGACCATGGAAAAAATCCATTGCGTATTCGTCTTGCAGCCAACCGGGGTTCAGCAAACACTGCAAAATTGAAACCTGGGTGTCCTGCGAACCCCCTCGCACGCTTGCCCCAGAAGAATCTTGTCCAAACGCTCGCCCACTGTCGCTTTGGGTTTTGGGGGGGGGCGGAGGTACGCAAGAAACGCAGAACAAACAGACAGGAGCCCGATAGAAAATACCTCGGCCCACGAAGCGGCAACAGGTTGGAAGAAATTTCCTCCCTTTTTGGGGTGGTTTTTCATCGCCTTCGGAGCTCTTTCCCCTGTAGGAGTTTCTGAAAGCAATACCAGCCTTAAACGCTGAGCCACTTCGTGATCAGATAGCAATGCTAAGGGAGAAAAGTATGTACAAATGAAATGCTTCAACCCGCCCTAATAGCCGATCTAGCTTCACTTCGTCCTAAAGCGTCAGCGCAAACCTGTTCCTGTAGAAGACGGAAAGATGCTCCCAAACTCGAGTGAACCCATATGAATAACCCGAGAGCAGACGAAGACCAACGCGAGTCTAACACCCTCTACGCGCCTTTTTGCAACTGCTAAAGATGGATTCTTCCCCAGCGCCCTCACACGAGATACGCAGGCGGCAGAGCCGTCCGCAACAAAATGAGCCTCCTTGCTTTCCCAAGCTACGCGCAGGCCAGAATTGTCGCTCAAGCTGCGGCACATCAATGCGCATGGCTCCGCGACTCCGTATTCGAGCCACGATGAGCGGATTACTCCTCCACAGGAAAGAGTGGGAGGTTTACGTCAAGCCTTAATCAATTTAATGACGATGGATGCGCGAGAGTTATTCGAAGATTTATTTGCATTTGGTACCATCTTCTAAAACATATCATATGTCTCACATGTCTGTCCTTCGCACCCGATCTACCACCCCTGCTCATGAAAATTTTACTCAGGAAGAAGAATTTTGACAATACTAGCCTCAATCATGCTCAACCGCTTTCTATTTATTGTAACTAGATGTCAATGCAGCTTTCTACTTACTTTCTCCAATTTTGTTGTTATCCTTCTTCTAAGAACAACGTAAACCCTAGGATGTTTGTCGTTCTCCTACCACGACGGTCAGTTATATCCCCTCCCCCAGCATCACTAACAGTCGTAGTCATTTCTTCTTCCCCTTTACTTACACCTCGGTTACCGCGTCAGCCGCGGCCAGCGTACCATAGTCGCCCGCCCTCTGAGACTTGGCATCGCGAGTTTTGTTAGATGGTAAAACCATAGGAATGTGGTGACGAGTGAGCCTATGTATAATGTAGGATCATACCGAATTCGCACGCACAGTGCGATGATCCTAACAAGACGCTACTCGGATTCATATGCGGTTGTGAGAATCTGAGAACGCACTACTTACCGAATTCTACAAAAAATGTGGAAAGTGAATCTTTAGGAAGACAGGCATCATACTGTGTGACGCACACAACAACAACTCTCGAGAAATAATAGTTCTTACTGGATGAATGTGAATCAATTACAAACTCCCCGACTTAAACTTGTCTTTCTTGTCCTTCGTGGGCATGCGCATCTTCCGTGCGACTTTCCACAGCAAAAAGATTCCGCAGATTAGAGGTAAAGCTTCACTTGCCCTCGTCCTTTGTTGTGTGAGATACCATGAAATACTTAATATAAAATATTCATGTGGCCATGGGTTGGAATGTACTGCACGACCTTTCAGTTACAGTCCCTACTTTGCAATCTATCTTCAGGTGTGTCATGTCTCAGATTCAGAAGCATATGTAACGCCTCTACCTCGCTCATTCAGAATTCTATCTATATACTTACCTCAGCCTATATACTAGACGACAATAGAGGACGAACAGCGAAACCTTAACAGGAGCACGAGCAGCATGGAAATGCACGCGATCGAGTCGCTGTAGTCGATTTGATCCGAGGGAGGCAACTTCTGGATGAAGGACGAGCTCCTCTGCGGGGGGTCATTTTCTATGCGCAGCGCACCGTCGTGTAAGTAAATGCCTAGAATCCCTCTGGCCGTCGCGTTTTTTCTCAAAAGCGCTCTGATGGCGAACTTTCCCGGACCGTCGATCGCCTTTCTGACCTGTAGACCGAAAGTGGAGTGAACGAGTTCTATGCTACTATTGAAAGTTGGTCAGTGTTCAGGACAGAGAAGATAAATTTTTCACATACGGACAACAGATAAAAAGCACAAGTCGCAAGTGTCATTTATCTAGGGAAAACCCATACTCCTTCGCCAAAACCTCAACTTTTGAAGCGATCTCTTCCCACGTAGTTACTTGAAGCTGAACTAGCTGCCTTAAAGGCTAAGAAGCGATTTCCGCCGGATCGAGTGGGGCGGCTGCCTGCTTGGGAATTTCTCGGATCCGGACCGACTTACAAAAACTTCACCAACTCGAGCAGGCCTCCTCCAGCCGGTGCCCAGAGCTTCGACCCAACCAACAACTGCTTTAGTCTATCTAGCGTTAGCGAATTAGCTAACTAAGTAACTTATAAAGCCTTCAGTGGTGAGTTCAAGTGCCGAACCAGTGAATGAGCTTTCCTTTGATATCGTTTGAGACTGTTAAGTAATCCCAATGCGAGTGAATAGGGTAAACAGGTACTCTCGCCTTCTTTGTTTTCAAATTTACACTCAAGGACTTCAACCATAGGTGACTAAGAAGATCTTTGGAAAACAAAAACCTAGTACACCTACTTACTCAAGATATACCCCTGCCCTGAAGGCTGTTTGTGCTTCCTGTCGGGTGTGCATGTCTTTGAGGGGAATGCGCCCGAGAATCTGCGAATTCTTCCAACTGCTCACTGCGTCCCACTTTGTTTGGAGATCGGCGTCGCCTTTCATGGAGGCAAATCCGGATTCGGAAGCATGGTCTCCGCCTTGCGGCCATAAACGCTCGTATATTTGCCCAAGGTACTTTCGCGCCTGATGTGGGAACGAAAGGGGGGAAGGCGTATCAAAGCGGCGGCGGCCTGACGTTAGTCTCAGTGCCTCAGTAGCGTTTGTCATAGTGCTACATCAGCTAAACACAGCACAAAAACGGCCCAAATTGTCTCCAACTAGTCGCGGAAATGGTCCGCTTCGCAATGCTTGCGGCTTGCTTTCTGCCGGTTTGTGTGGGTTCTGGTTTTGTTTCACTCGTTCCCCCGCGCCCCTCCCGCGTCCAAGACAGTCGGCGGCGAGTCAGTGTGTGCTGTGGGGTTCTGGAGGGGTCCAAGGATTTCCATCACGCTCAAGGCGTTCTGCTGGCAATCGTGGGAGGGTTTTTCTTGAAGAAGCGCAATACATAGGCTGCGAGCGTTTTTGAGATAGATCCTGAACACGCCAAGCATGGTTGCACATTGGCCAGATTGTTGCATCACTTTGTTGAGCTTCCTGCGATGAATCGAAAAAAACAAAAAGAAAAACTGCTTAAAGGCTAAGCTGTAGGTATGCAAAAAAATGGGCAAACAAATGCCGTAAGTTACAAAAGCTGGCGGGATTCGTTCGCCGGGGTCGATAGCTACACTTCACATGGCCCTGCCAGCCTATCGGCGGCAGATTCTGTTGACTAAAAAACACTAAAGAGCGCAAGAAAAACTCAATGACAACCCCTGGCGGAGCCTCCAAACAAACACACCTGGACCAAAAACACTCGACCCAGAAGCACCTGGGTGGGCCCAAAGCTCTTGGACGACCGAAAGCGCGTGAGCTGAACCAAAAAAGCGCATACCGCAAACAGCGTGGTCAAAGACTAAGCACCTGAACCAAAATTCCTCGAACTGAAAAAAACCTGGCAGGAAAGCACCGGAATCAAAGCACCAAGGGAGGCGCAAAATGTTACGGCAGTCACCCCCGGGACCTCCGCGAGGCGTCAGGCGCCTCGAAATATGCCCAAAATTAGCAAAACACGCCAAAAAATTTCAAAAAGTCTCAAAAAATGCCCAAAAGCAATACTTTTTGACAGCGCAGACTTCAACTCTTGCAACTTTTTGACGGCGCAGGCGTCAAGGTTTAGCACCTTTTGCCATTTTTTTGACAGCGCAGAATGCCAAACCTTGCCACTTTTTGCCATCTTTTGCCAGTGAAGACGTTAAGCTTTGCAACTTTCAGCCGTTTTTTGTCTTCGGCTTCATCTTGCTGCCGCGTACGCTTGGCACGGTGAGAAACTCGCAGAGAATCAATGCCGACGCAGTTCAGGCAACAAAGGCCCTGGCCTTTTCGGTGCACCTAAACACACGCGGCGGCCTTCTCTGTGTTAGGGTGACAGGGCTACTCCTAGCCGGGCCTTTTTAGTACATCTAAACACAAGACAGACAGCGCGGCCCCCTCTGTCTCTGTGTTAAGATGGGAGAGCTGCTTCCATCCAAGCCCTTCCAGTGCGTCCAAACACAAGACAAGCCACAAGAATAGACTAGCGGGGGGCTTCTGCGGTGAGTTGAGGAGGCTACCCCTCGCCAAGCCTTTCCGGTGTAGCTAAACACAAAACAAACAACAAGAACAGCGGGGAAGCTTTCTTTGCGCTAAGATGAAGGCGCTACCCCTAGGCGAGCCGCTTCAGTGCACCCCAACACAAGACAGGCGACAAGACTACGAGAACCGCCACGGCCGTGAGCACGGGACAATCAACCTCCAAGCCTGCCAAAATTGAGAGAAAGGATAAGAATGCACCCGAGCCCTTGCCTGACTACATGCCACGCAATAGCCACGACAAGAGAAGGCGCCGCGATGACTTTTACTGATAGCACACGCAGCGCACTACTTAGGTCCCCACCCGTAGCACAACAATGGCCACAACGACAGGCGCACACTTAGAGTTAGCTGGCTTTTTTTCACATTCAGACTGTTTCGATTCATACCGAGCAAGCCAACCCCCATCCATGCCGAGCATGCCCAACCCCAAGCCTAACGCATACGGAGCGGCCCTCGCTCTATACAGAGCAAGGCTTGCCGGTGCCTGGCGTCTTTACCCAGCTGATCACAACAAAAGTCGACCCCGCACCATACTTACAACAAGGCCCAAAGCAGACGAGGCAGAGCAGAGCAGACCGACAGACGAGGCAGAGAAGACGGCCCCGCAGCTTTCTATATTCACACCAGATCGATGGCTTCGATACATACAGACCACCGGGGAGGCGGCCCCATTCCTATCGGATGGCCTGCATTCATAGGAGGGCAGCCGAGCAAGTAACAGACCTACTCATAAGACCAAGCACAGGCAGACTACTCGACTCAGAGAGAGCACAGACTTGTAGAGAGAGAGAGAAAGAACGACCTCCCTCATTGGGGGAAGGCGTTCGCCTGGTCCCGACCTGCTGGCGCTTCGGGTGCGGCCCTCCGAGCACCACGCGGCCAGCCCCTGGCCCTGAGGCATTGCGAATTTGCCCAGGCGGCGCCCCCCAAAGGCTTGTAGAACTCGACCAAGGATGTGGGAGCGAGCGGGCGATAAAGGGGGGGGCGGGCGATAAAAGGGCGGCGAGTGCTGAACCTTCAAAGCGATGCCCAGCGGTGGACGGGGGCACCATTGTCAGCCCTGCCTCCGCCGCTGGGGTGTCCCGCAAGCGCTGCGCCCAATAAATATGTCTCCGCCCACCTCCGCGATGAATCCGCGCAAGAACCGCGACACACGTGGAACGACACACACGCGCAAAGCGATGCCCCGCGGTAGACGGGGCACCAGTGTCAACCCGGGTCCCGCCGCGGGGGTGCCCGGGCCTGTCTATCCCGCGCCGTGTCCCCCGGTCCCAATATGTCTCCCCCGTTGGTGACGAGTCTGCACATGGGCCGCGCACTTTCAAAGCGGTGCCCAGCGGTGGACGGGGGCACCCGTGTCAACCCTGGCTCCGCCGCTAATGTCTCCAGGCGCTTTCGTCAAGCGCTCGCTGCGTCCCCGGGTCCCGAGCTGCCCTATTCATCAAGCCAGACCCCCCCACCAAGCGCCCCAAGCTTGTCGAGATTTAGAATTTAAAAGAGGCGACGCGGCCCGACAACTCTGGCCAGGCACATCCCACTGCAAGCCTGTCGAGGTTTGACATCTAAGCGACACAACGACCCGGGGACCCCGACCCCTTGGCCAGGGGTCCCAAGTTTGTCGAGCTTTCGAGCTCGTAGAATTTTGTCAAAATTTGCTAAATTTTCTCAAAATTATTACCAAGCCCGTGCAAAAGAGACAAAAACTCGAAAAAAAAGCCGCCCGACTCGAGTCGACATGAGAAAAGTCCTGGGGCTTACTTCCGTAGCAAGCCCATGAACCTCCGAGGGAACCGCCTCAGGCTGCCTAAGTTCTTGGCACGTTTCCCATTCATTTCCGAGGTGAATTGTTCAAGCTTTTCACGGTTTGGCAGTTTTCGCCCGTGGTCCTCGTCCTTGTTTGCTGCCTTTCAGCCTGTGCTTGGGTGGGTTTCTTCCGAGGTTTTTCAGCTGGCCGCCCTGGCTTGGGTTGGCGGGATGTTCCAGCTCCTTCTGTATGCTGTAGAAAGCGAGCCATGTCAAGTTGTGGCCGCTTCTTAGAAAGAAGGCGTGCCCGGCTGTTGCCTGTGCAAGCCTTGGGGCGTGAGATGTCACTCAGCCCCAAGAAGCAAGGGAGCGGGCAGCACAAGACAAAGGCCAGCGCCGGGGGTGAGTAGAGGCGAAAGCCCCAAGGAGGTGCGCCTGCTGGGTGTTTTGGTTTCCCCTTTTCGTTGCTCCCCTGCCTGCGGGCTTAGCTATGGGCAGACAGCCGCGGGCGACCGCTCCCGAGGCGGGCCGGTGAGGGACGCATGCGCAAGGCATTCTTTCACCGGCAGCGCCACGTAGATTCTTCCACGACGCCGAAGCTCAGAAGAAATAAAAGCCCCAAAAAGCTCAACAAGCTGCCGAATAGGTGAAAGCCGAAAAATCAGCGCCGCCACCTTTTGAGTCAAAAAAGTGCACCAGCAACCTTCGCCATGTCATGCAGAAACCCATGCCAGCTGTCAGAAAGGGCGCAGGCGTTTTCTATTCGTTTTCTGGCTTCGTCTGTAGTCCGTCGGCTAAGAGCGTCGCTCTTTCGCTGGCGCAGTCTGGGCGCCTTCTGTGGCTCGTGTTTTCTGTCTGTTGCTAGTGCAGTCCCGCGGTGTTCAGGCCGCGCCTTGTCTGTGTGTATGTTTCGCGCGCGATCTGAAGGCCGCAGGCTTACTTCCTTATCTTCCACACTAGAAACAAGCGAAAACGAGCGACAAAAAGCGCCAAGCCCATGCCAAAGAAGTGACACCTTGTTCAACCGACTACAGAAACCACAGAAAAAAAAGAGAAAGCCTGCGCCCTTTTTGACGCTGCTCAGAAGGACAGCCCCAGCCACCCCAGCCCTTCCGCCTGCCGCTAAAAGTGTGCCAATTGATTTGGCCCGGCGCAGTGGCCTCAAAAGGCAGCCACTACACCACAGGCGACAGCCCTGGGCAAACCCAGCCGACCACACCGAAAAAAACACCACCAAGCAAACCACCCACCGCAGCCGCCAAGTATCTACCCATGTGCGCGCAGACTCTGTGGAACCCGACGACACAAAGCGCCACAGCTGGCGCGCGCAATAGATGGCCGGTGGGTCATTCATAGAGTTCGCCCCGCTAATGATGCATGGGACTCAAAAAGCACCTGCGAATTTGCTTGGGTGCCAAAAATTCTGCTAATTTAGCAACCCGCAACAGAATGCACCGCGGGGAGCCCGCTCCGCAGAATGCTGCTGACAGATGGGCGCGCCCTGTTATTTTGTTCCGAGGGTCAGGGTCCCTCGAGGGGAACTGGCTAAGAATCACGATAAGAAAAGAACCCCAGCACCCTCGAAAAGAGAGGGACTCCGACTTGCGCACCCGACCCCCCCTACATGCGTGAAGGCGCGCAGAGTGTGAGGGTGACAAATCAAAGTCCGTCCTTCCTAAGCTGCCGAGCTAGGATGGATGGCTGACCTTCATCATGAAAATTAAAGCCACCAAGCCGGCAAAAGAAAAACTCCCCCAGTTAGGGTTCAAGTGCTGACTTAACACGCTAAATTAACTCGCATTTTTAGAGCTTTGCACTTGTTGCGGCCAAGAGAGCATCAAAATTAGATTAGTCTTAAGGTAGCCCAATGGCTACGGATTTGAATGATGTCGCTCATCATTCTCAGCGATGTCGCCCCTGTCCTGTGACTAGTGCTAATCTGCACAAGCACAGGACAAATCTGAGAAGACAGAAAGTATTTGGTTTTTGTTGTTGTTGTTAAGTACGGAGATCCCTGGGGCTTAGTGCCTTTCATCTGCCTAAGCTAACTAGATCCGGACCAACTATTTTACTCATCCACTTGCTACTTGCTGCACACGCTTAAGGCCTTAAGAGTTTGGCCTTGTTGCTGATGTTGATGATGTTGCTGGTCTTGATGGTGTTGATCTTCGTGCTGTTGTCGTTATGATTATCTTGCTCCTGTTGTTTCCTTGATCATGATGCTCGTAAGTCTTTCAGACAGTTGTCGACTTCCGTACTGGTAGGATGATCTTCATGCTCATGCTTGAGATGATTCATAATTTGGGGATCGACAGCACTAGCGTAATCTTTAGCAAAAAGCCAAGACTTGAGGAACACACCTAAGCCCAACGCCAACCGGGCAGCCGTTCAGGGGGACAACCCCAGCCACCCCAATACTTTAAAACGCCAGGGGAATCCTGCTAATTTTCCCAGGCGCAACCACCTCAGAAGCACCCGCGACACTGCTAACGACACCCCCTGGCCAGCCCTAAGCAATACCCATTGGCCAGACCTCCAAAAACACGACCAGCCAAGCAACAAGCTGCCCGTAGGTGCAGACACCACAGCCCTACCCCTGCGCAAGGCCAGACCCTGCAAAACCCGACGACCAAATTTAGGGACACAACCGGCGCGAACCATGCACGGCAGGCGGCCCTCCCGTGCAGCTACCCCCCCACCCAAGGCCACACTAATCCAGGCGCTCAGATGTTTGCTAATTTAGCAGAAACCGGCGGAGTGCACCATGGGGAACCCGTTCACAAAGTTGCTAGGTAGCCCGTTACTCTAGTTTAATTCTTGCGGCTCCTCGAGGCCCCTCCGGAATTCCTCTACTTCGTTACTCTAGTTTGGCATACTAATCAATCTGCAGCCCCCCAATTATATGCATAAAAGCGCGTAGGTCTTTGGGGTGCAAAATCAGGGCACCGCACTAGAGTAACAAATCAGAGATATTTTCGAGGGGTTTCGAGACCCCCCAAAACAATTAGAGCCACAGACTAGCGCGATTTTTAGAGTAAAAAGGTAAGACACTCTAGAGACGCCGAATCACTAGTGACGCCGAATTACTTAACATGCAGAATTAGCGTGGTTCCTTTCTTAGCGCCCAAGATAAGCATGAACTTTAGCAAAAAAATTAGAGCCCCCGAACACCAACACACCCGAACACGGCGCCAAGCTGACAGCCGCCAAGTCAGCCCAGGCCTGCTTTCTGGGCACGGCAAGAGGCACCCGACCGACATCACCGCAAGGCTACGGAGAGCCCGCATGCTCCCCGTCCCCACCATCACACGACTAAGCCCACCACACAGAAAAAACCAGCACCACCACAAACAGCCGACCAAGCTCACACTTGCAGAAATCCTGCAAAATTAGCGGAATTTTAGCGGAAACTTAGGAACGAAAACTGCCCAGGCATGTCCTCGTCCTGAAGCAAGCCGCCGAGCCGACCGCGGACCTTCTGAGCGGGAACACACACGACCGACAGCGCCGCAGATGCACAAACAGCTGACCCCACGCAGATGCCGTGCGACTGTGTATCCCCAACGCACAAGGCTAACCGCTGCCACCACGCACAGGCAGCAGACCAGCCCCTTGCCATGCAAGTCCCCGACAAAAGCAGCGGAATGCCAGTGGAAAAATAAGAGCGAAAGCGGCCCAAGCGTGTCCCCCTTTTGCTCTGGAGCGGTCCCGCATGACATGGCGAAGGCTTCCAGCGCACTTTTTTGGCGCAAAAAGTAGCACCCCTAATTTTCTACCACGATCAGAAGAGCCAGCGGGCGCGCCATCTTCAGCAGCCTGCCAAGTGGGGTGAGCTCTGTACTTAATTGGGGCCGCTCTGCTAGGCTCAGGCGTAGTAGCATACACACGCCGCCACTAAAAACACACTGCGCACCCCACTGACCAGCCCGCCCCTGGCGCGGTCGCGCGTGCCCGCCAATTATAAGCCCTCCACCAACAAGCTGCAACGAAGCAAAAGGAAAGACAAAGAAAAACACCCCACGAGCACTCCCGAAGCCTCCACCCCTGCTCACCCCAGGCGCCCACCCTTGCGCCGCTCGCCTGCCTGAGGCATCCCACGACCGAAAGCCCACACAAACAACAACCCCCCACGCCATCCGCACGAGCGGCAGCTACGGCGTGCCCCGGCTTGCTTTCATACATTTCACAACAAACAAGAAGAATACGCGCGAACCCAAGCCAAAGCCAGCCGAATGACACCAGAAAAAACCCACCCAAACACAAGCCGAGGAGCAGAGAACAAGGGCGAGAACTACAGCCGAAAACTGCTAAACCATGAAGGCCCCAAGCAATCAAGTTCAGAAGCGAATAAGAAGCGGATCGAGAGCCCACGGGACTCGAGGCGGCTCCTTCTAAGAACCTGCGAAGCCCTGAGCCTACGAACCTACGGCCGAGTCTGAACGCCTGAGAAACGAACAGCCCACGAGCCTAAGGCCCTGAGAGTGAGACCCACGAAATTATAACTAAAAAGCCACTGGGTTGAAACAGCGAGGACGCCCTCACGGTGCTGGGAAAGTACGAAACCACGAAGCCTCGAACAGAAAAGGCCACTCACTACGAAGCCGCGAGCGAAGCGATGAAACTGCGGAGCAAAACTCTGAAAGAAACCATGCGCGCGAGGGGCAGGGGCACAGCACGGCATGCGCGCTGGCCATGGCGAAGACAGAGCCCGATGACTGACTCATAAGATAGAAGAAAAGCCCGCCTTGGAACCCTGCAAGCGCAGACTGACACTGACAGCCAGCCCGACGCCAGCCGCCGAATGGTAAACAGCGACCCGCCTGCCAGTCACTGGAGACAAGAAATCCAGAACAGGGCTCCCTTAATGCTCCCCGCCTCTCACTGTCTCACCTCTCGGCCCTTACTATTGCGACAGCCTAACTCGAAACCTGAAAGGCCTGAAGCTTCACACGCTCAAGCTTGGCACGCTGTTAGACAGAATGGCAGTGAGCTGCCCAACATCGTGAAAGGGGTCAAGGATCTCAGTCAAGACGCCCACTAAGATCAAGGGCCACGTAATGGCTGGCCAAGATCACGATCACACCAGTCGAAAACAAAGCCAACAGGCCCACCCCACAGGGGTCACCATTAGGATAACCACCATGGGGGTGGAATACTTTCAAGACCGAGATCATCAGCTGCGAAACCCATAGCAAGAGAGTAGAAGACTGGCTCGCATGACTGAACACGCACGGGGGTGCTTGGACTAGCATGAGAACCAACAGACCGAGTGGACTTGCTCCCCCGGGGAGGTAAGTTTCTAGGGTTTTCCGTGTTCAGACACACCTCAGAGTAAAAGTCCTTGCTTTCACAACACGAAAAACCAAAGAAGTAGAAGCTGACTCTTTTGAAATTTAAAGCCTTGCACAATTTAAGCTCCCCACCTTGTTTTTCCATTTATAAATACGCGAGAGCACGCACCCCCCAGCCCACCTCCAGCCGGTCGACCCCACTACAGGAGCACTAGGCTGCTGAGGACGAAGGGGGGGCGCGCCTTGAAGGGAGCAAATAGGTGGAGAATTTTAGTGGAGGGAGAGTGCAGGGCGCTTACATCTTTCTAGAAAAAGAGCAAGTTGAGAAATCAAATAAGTATAATCTCGTCGGCCTTAGAATTCAAGAAAAGACTTTACTTCAAAGAAAGAAACTGACTGCAACTGTGCAGAGGAGTACTCCACAGCTTTTTGCTTCCGGGCGGCCACTTTTTAAGTTCCTACTTTTTTGTTTAGATTCCTACGGTGGTGCCTGCTGGTTAGAAAGACAATGAGGAGAGTGCTGGACCACAAGAACAGAGACTGCTAAGTCGCGCGTAGTTTCTCGGTGAGAAGCGCGGAGCTTTATGCCAATTGAACTCACAGCCTGAGACTAATGGTCTCTGGCTGGTTTGGCCCCTGTGGATATTCATTGGGGTTGCAAAAGGGGAAGCCTCCGCTTCTTGTTTGGGATATCATGGTGGGGGATGTTGCACGTGCTTCATATGGAAGCCTTCTGCTTATCATCATTGCCTTCGCCTGGTCATCCTATGCCGATACTCATCTTGATCTGACTGACCTTAGATAGACGGACACGCATCAGATCACACCATGCGAGACCTAGCACGAGAATACCCCACGACGATCTTTATGCACTTTGAACTGATCAGAACTGACAAGACGACACGGACCTGGTTACAGCTATGCGTGAGCATTCGCCACTTCTGCAATCTGAATACGTTGAAGGCCCCTCTGTCTGTTAGTCGTTGACTTTGGAACAGTACGCGTTGAGGTCTATGGGTTTCCTTGAGATCTTTCCGGTGGCGTTTGTCCTTGACTGTGCTGAAGGTTTTGGAACAGCATACAAGAGAGAGAGAAGAAGCCAGAGAATCCCGCGCGACGGTAAACCCGTCGGGCGTTGGATGGTGCTCCGGTAACCTCTTGCAACAACAACAAGAGAGGAGAAGCCAGAGACACCCGCGCGACGGCAAACCCGTCGGGCGTTTGGATGGTGCTCCGGCAACCTTTTGCCTGGCGATCTTGGTCATTTCCTTGATCTTCATCCTTTGGATTTTCGTGGATCTTTGCGAAGTCTCAAGGGTTCCGATCATGACCAACAGAGAGAAAAATACAAAATCGAATAAATATAAAACAAAAAACGCTATAGCTATACGTCTGCGCCGTCAATTCTCTTTTCCTTGCGCTGCACCTTTCCATTGCGCTTCACTGCTTGACCAGCGGTTCCCTCCATGGTTTTCTTCTGGCTCCTATTAAAATTATCTCATGCAGATGCTGACAACGAATTATAGTGCGCCTTTCAACTACTTACTTCACGTTTTGAAGTTGTTGGTGCTAGGTGGTCTCTGGATGAAGCGTAATTTGCCTTTTCAAAAAGAATATGAGTTGTTGGGTCGATCTTCTACTTCTACTTTTCTAAGATTGTTGTGATTGTTGTTTTCTCGAGGATTCAAGGGGGTCGAAGACTGCTATGTTCACTTCCCTATTTTTTTCGTGGTTTCGTAGTCTGTCTCTTAGTCTTATTTAGTCTTATCTTCCAAACGTTCAATGTTTATGCAACGAATTAAACGGTGTGCGGAGGTTCTATTTTTCATCTATTCGATCGATTATCGAGGTGAATGCAAGTCAACGACATCTGTACGATACCATATGGTGTAACCACGAAAATCTTTCTCAAAGCCCTACTTCATCGATCTCCTCACACTCGTTCTCTCGTCATCAAATACCTCTTTTAACTACCATTCGAACATGCCTCAAGGATGGTGATGGCCAGCTCGCTCTCTCGTCATCAACTACGTACTTTCCAAAGCAACTCGTTTATGTCGAACACAGAAGCATATCTTGACAGACGACTAGTCTCACACTGCTTGTTGCATTTACCTAGATATACTCGTCCTTCGTTCATCTGTCGAAATCAAGTAGGAGCTTAAATCTTCAAAACAAGGATGATGATGGATCTTCTTCTCTCGTCTTCGTATATTTATTCTCTCGTCGTACAAGACTAGGATTGTTAGAAACTTGTTCATCGGAATCATTTTTCCCCTCGTTGATGGTTCTGTAGTAAGTATAAGAACGTTGACGCGCTACCGTTAGAGAAGAGCCCAGGAAAATACGACGTATGGAATGATGCTGATTCTTCTGTGTCATCTTGTACTTAACGTGGCACTTCATCTTTCTCGCACAAGTACTCGCACATTGCAAGAACAGTTCTTCATATTGGATGTCTTCATAAGCACAGGCAAGTTTAACTCAGAACTCAAGTTCTTCATATTGAGGGTCTTGGAGAAGAAACTACAGAAGAAGAAAAGTTCTATCAAATCATAATACTGTTTAGTCATAGCCAGCAACAAGTATTCAGGATTGATGTTGACTTCTTCGTTGTTGATTGTTCTAACTTATACTTTTTTTAAATTTGGTTGTTTCTACTAGAACTAGTAGTCGGCTCATTTGTTGTTGTCTCAAATATATTTTCTAAGAAATGCATGATATTCGTGCTGTAGCAATTCATAGATCATTTTTTGAAGTAATCATTATTGATGGTTGCTGCAGCGGCACTTCTTCCACTTGTTTTGTGATGCATAACTTCTGTTCAACTTGTTCAACATCACAATAATTGATCAAGAATCATAGCCCTTTAAATTACTTGCATTTATTAGTAAAGCTGATGGAGTTCATTTTCATTGTTTCTTGGATACGTTTAAGGATGTCAGGAGGGTCGTCCAATGTCGAAAAGATTTAGCTCAAATAAATACAAGTTCTCAATCACTAGCATTTTATTCACCGAGGAGGCCCTTTATCTTCACTCAATCAGAATACTTTAGCGAGAAGATCCAGAGTTTCTTTTTAACATGGAAGAAAATGTGGATCATACTCTGCTGCAAACATTCTTCAACCCAAAAAAAAAGTTTACTTTCTTGCACGTTCAACTTTAACAGTTCATATTTGCTTGTCATTGTCTATTCTAGCGGTTAGAGAGTCGACGTCGACCCTTCATCAAAATGGCAGAATCCTCTATTGATGGAATCGGAAAGAGGTAGTGAATAACAAAAAACGTTGTAGTGCATTGATGTGAACAATGGAGGGAATGGATGTTCCCGAAGGATGAAGTACTTGTTAACCTTAACATATAGTACAGAATCTATTCCAATATCATTGAGTCCTCTATTATTGCATATCATCAACATCTACATCTTCCATGAAAATACTAGAGTTAATAGTTACTACTTACTGTCCTCTTTCTCTTTCATCTTCTAGACAATTCTAATCCCACTACATTGCAAAGCAGCAGTGTCCATGACTCGAAGAGTCATCTGTGCGACTCGAAGATTTACATTTATCTGTGAAAAGAGAACGCCACAAGTAACGAGAGCCGCGAAGTGACGCAACACTGGCACTCCCGCTGACGTGACCACCATTGTCGACAGAACCATACTCATTGCTAACAGCGTAGGAAGAAAATGCTGTCCAGAACTAGAAGAAGTGGTATTTGTTACATTTGTTACAGTACCAGTACTAGTTGTATGGGCCTTTCCACTTCCAGATCCAGTTGCTGTACTATTGCTACAAGCAGAGGCCGCGAGAAGGAGGGAGATGAGTGCAGCAAGGACCACAAACGCATTGGTAGAAGTGTCCAAAATTACCACTGCGACTCCCAAAACCTGCACTGCAGTAAGAATGGGCACCAACAAATCGATTGTTATCTTTCCGAGTTGTAGTTGATTAAGTTGCTGTTGTCCTTGAGAAAAATGGATTTTCTTTTTCAGTCCGTTCACCTGCGGACCAGCGACATCTTCAAGCTCATCAACGACCGCCGAAGCATGGTAAATCCGACCCAGGCTGTTCTTCATACAACTATGTCCTTCTTTCATGAAAAACGTGGCCAGTACTGTGTGCCAGAAGCAGGCAAAGGAGAACAAGACCACCACTACCCAAAACACGTGCTCGAGGAGATAGGTTCGCAAATCACGACTCGTCTCTGACAGTGGAGTAATTGAAGACTTTTGAGGTTTGAAGAATTTCACGATTTCGTGAACTTCACCCGATGAGGAGGAAGATGTTGAGGAAGAAGATATCGACGACGACGAGGCTGTTGTTCTTCCGGAACTGTGCTGGTTGTCTTCTTCCTGCAAGGTCGCCTTTGCCCATTGTCTTAATCGTTGATCTACTTCTTCCAGTGTTAAAACTAAGGAAAATCCATCTTCAGCAGTGTCTTGTGCTGGCGGTACAAATCGTGTCGTATTATTTCGGCAGAGGCCGATCGCTGTACTACAGTGTAGGTCCAAAAGCGCAGGGGGAAGGAGCGGGCCAGCGGCTGCTGTATTCGATGTCATAATTCTTTCTCTTTCTTGTCTTTCAATTCCTCCTGCTCTTGGACCATGTCCATGATTTTCTACTAAAATTGCAACTTCATCACCGCCAGTTCTTGTCCTTTGACCATGATTCTCTGTAACTAGTCGTCTTTGTCCTGAATCACCTTGACCACTACCGATTCTCCTTTGGCTAGAGTGCTCTACCACTGCATCCTGCTCAAAATCACTTCTCCTTTGGCTATTTGCTAGAGATTCATCTACAGCATCTCCTTCTCTATTCCTGTTGCTTATTATACCAACAAGTGCTGATCTAGTGCTCCTTGCGGCCAATGCTGGTGGTACAAACTGTGTCGTATTAAGATCACCCACCACTCCATGACGTCCATCTCGTTCTCCGTCTCCTTCTCTTAGAGCTTCCCGGAATCCATCTTGAAAGTCATCCTGCTCCTGCTTTCCCCGTAGAGGAAGGCCTCAGGATGCTCGTGAGGATGGATTACCTCAAGTCTTAACTCCAATAAAGGCAGTCGTTGTGTCGGTATCTGCTCTTGGATCTGCTTTGAATCTAAGACGCTTGTTCTTGCGCCACGAGCTCGAGTGCCAGGAACTATTGTCAGCCTTGGTTCCACTCGTACTACCCCTTCATGAGGTCCAGGTTGGCCTTCTCCTTCAAAAGGTGCAAGTTGGCCTACTCTTTCGCCACCTGCAGGTTGGCCTACTCTTTCGCCACGTGCAGCTTGTCCCCCTCCTGCAAGGTGATGGCCCTCTTCTTCTCCAACACCATGACGAACATCTCTATGGAAATCTCTTGCCAGGGACTCTCTTGCCATCCCCATCGGTGCGCGTCCAGATGAGGGTATGGGGGATGCTACTCTTGACCATTGTCGGCGGCCGTCATTGGTGTTTGAATTCCTCAGGCCTCCAGGCTGGTGAAATTGAGCAGCATAAGCACCACACAACCAGAGGCAAAGTGACGTTCTCAGGTTTTTCACCATCTTCATTTTTTGGTGGTAAGTTGTTGATTTGAAATTGAATATCTGGTAAGCGTGAGAAAACAAGTGCCGAGAAGGTAAAGGCATGAGTCTACCATTTGAAATCGAAGTAGAAATAATTACAACTTCTAGTAGGTAGCATTGATGGTTGATGACTCTCAAGCATCAACGTGCTCCTGTAACCAAAAAATTCATTTGATTTACTTCTGGTAGGTACATAATTAAAAAATGAGCATCCTCTTTCTAAGAAAACTACTCCCCACGATTAGTGGGTAATGAAGTTATAGTCTCAGTACTAGCTTTGCCGTTAC